GTCCCCAAGGGGTATTTAGATGGGTTCAGGTCTGGAAAAGAAGTTTTTTGAAGTAGGTATGAGATGATGGCGTTCATTCTTGTTTTTTTTTTTTTTAAGAGACAAGATGATTCCTTGCTAACAAATCTTTAAGACAAGATTCCTTATTAAATAATAAAACTTTAGGTCTAACTAGAGTATTGCTAATACCAAGAATAACAGAGCTGTCCTAAAACATGAACTCATCCAGATTCTTTGTTCCTCTTCTGTTAGTTCAAATGATCTGATAGTTTCCTACTTTCAGAATGATCTCTAGTCATGTCCCTTAGAACCAACCACTGATCTGTTCAGAGCAAGAAAAAAATCTTCAATAACCAGAGCTGTAGATGATTTTGAAGGCAGATGATTAGTTCTTACTATGTAGATAGGAATTCACATCAGTGAACCATAGAGATTAGGTCTCTGAATATCATACAAAAAACAAAGATCCTAGGTTTATAATAAATGGATCTCCTGGGACCTACACACTTCTGCAATAGTACTTGCTCTTCTAAGAAAGCATTCCCTGTAACATGAGTATTGGGTCATGTCAGTTGCTAGTGACTGTAGTTGGAACTGAAAAGTGATTGCATAAATCCTGCCAGTTTGTAAGAGGTGTTATAAAAGGTGCTGGTCCGTCCTTCATCTGTAGCAGTTTTAGAACATTCTATTCCTGTTGTTTCTTTCATGACTCATGGCTACACTGATAAAAGAAAGCCAGAGGGGAAAAAATAGAGGCTTCTACCTAAAACCTGTCTTCTGATTTTCCCATTTTTATTCCTTTCTAAGCCCTGTTCACTCTTCTGCTGTCTAGATAATTCGCTTTAGAAATGTTTCAGAACACCTCTCAATAGTCGTGACATTCTTCCTCCACGCCCTTTGGCAGTTACTTTCCTCAAATTAATCATTAGCACGTTCCTTTATTCTGTTGTTTTCATTTTGACTTTTTGATAGCCTGCCTAAATGAACGTTGTAAACACCTCCCGCCCTAGAAATAGCATAATTCAGTTGTATTATGATGAACTGACCTACTGAATGTTAGCAGATGAGGCTTTAGTGCTCATTTTTGTCATCTTATTTCCAGCTAGCTTGAGAGCCAGTAAGGAGACCAGTAATTCCCACCTTTTATACTAACAGAGACTTCATTATCTTTCTACCTCTTCCCACAGTTCTGTGAGTTGGAAGATTTTTTTTTAAGCAAAGGAACTGTATTTATGAAGTGATATTCTCTTTTTTTATTATTAATAAATAATTAATAATAATTTCTATTATTAACCAAGTGGCTATAGCTAGGTCTGAAATAAAAACATCTGCTTCAGACAGTATCAACATTAAGCTTGATTTTTCATGTGGTTGATGTTTGTTAACCCCATGGACCTTTAATATGGACAATTCCAGTAACTTTTTTTTTTTTTAATGAAAACAGTCTAAGTTCCCCTTTCCACACTCCTTGCCTAACTTTTCCCACTCATCCCCACCCCCCAGTTATAGACTTGGATCCCTTGTGGTACTAAGATCTCAAGCTGAGACTGTGATCTACTCCTTGGGAGTTTGTAGTTTTATTAGCAAGTAATTTTTTTTTTAGTGGGAAAGGTAAAATACCCACTGAAATGAATTTTTATTAAGACAAGTAGTACTTCCCTCCCCCGTCTGAGGGGGGATGTAATGGAATGGCATCAAGGATTACCTTAGTCCTGTAATGCCGGATGTCTGGTTCTGGGGACCTATGTCCCTGAGTGAGTTATACCTCTTTTTTTTAACCTGAGTTACTAAAAAGCCTTCCCTCTTCCTTTCCCATCTCTGTTAGTTTTTCTTCTCTGAAAGACTCTGTGCTTTTTGAGCTTATCTGCTTTCTGTTTCTGTTACCTACAGTCTGTTTCTCACAGAGGATTGGGAGCCCTGAGAGGGCAAGGATGTCTCTCATTTATTTCTGTGTTCACTGTGCCTAGGACAGAGCCTGACCCAGGTGAACAAGAACGAGGCGGCAGCAGCCTCCTTGGGGTGCTTTCTGTGTGCTGGGCTCTGTCCTGAGTACTTACCATGGATTCAAGTTTAATCCTTTTAATGCCCACAACAGCTTTAAGAGGAACTTACCTCACTGTTACTATTCCTGTTTTAAAGATGGGGAACAGATTTTTCAATAACTTGGTTAAAGTCATACCACTTTGGTTTGTTTAGTGACTGTTTTTATCTCTTTCCTTTGGCCCTTAAGATGAAAAAGTAAAACGATTCAAAATCAAAAAGTAGAATAAGAAGAGAAATAAAAAGTCTGGAAAATACGTAAATGGAATAAACGGTCCCTTGAATAATGTCTTGGCGACAGGGTCATGTGCTCTGTCTAGAACTTCACCCCCTCAAGTCACACTGCTCACCAGTTCATCTGCCTCAAATCATGCCATTTACCTTTGCAAACTACTTGTCATCGAATTGTGTTTCTGAGTTTCTCAGAGTAAGCATTTCCATGTTCAGAAGTAATTTGAGCTCTAACTGGAAACAGTATATGTTTTTATATATTTATGTTGCTTTCCTTTTTGACTCTTTTAATCGTTTATCACTTCCTAACAAGCAGAGTGTGTTAGTTTGCTTGGGCAAATGATTCTAAAGAGAACATTTCCAAATAATTGGACTTCCTTGTTGCTGCTGAGGTTAACATTTAACAGAAAAAGGAAATTTCTTTAACCAAATACGAATTTGGGGGAATTGATATTTATGTTTATTATCTTTTTTAAATCATCAGTTTTGTATAATTGTATTGTCAGATATGAACTCCAGTTTAGCATGGAGAGAAAGGGAAAAAAAAAAACAAACCAGACTAGTTTATCCACAGTTAAAGTATGTGATGGTAGAAGAAATAATGTACCCAAACTCATTTTATAAAAATTACTGTTTTTTTAGGATTTATATCGAAAGATATGAATTTATTATATCTCAGATCCACATATATTAATGGTTAGGTTTGTTTACAGTGGTAGCATTAGATATTGCCAGTATTTTAACAACAGAAGGAAGTTTTTATTTTAACTATCCTGATTTTTATGTTTGCATTTTTATTGTAAGCAATTTAAAATCCCCTCCTTTGGGGAAGAGATGGCCAGGTATATGTTTTAAATAAAAACTTGAATTTCCCTTCTTGAGTAATTTATATCAGAGATAACGTGGGTTTACTTTTCAGTTAATTTCTAAATTATGACTGTTTTATAAAATAGACGCATGCATTACAGGGAGAATAATTGTAATTGCCACTGTTCATGATGGTGGCTTGACACTTGGAGCAGGTGACCAGAATTGGCAGATTCACTTTGTACAAGGAGGGTGTAAGTTAAACATCAACTATATAAATTTCCTTTAAAAAATCTTAATAAGGTGTTCCTAGAATTGGGGTTATAAATTTTTGTTACTGAATACTTAAAGAACAGGTACAGCTAGCCACCATTACTCAGATTATTTGACTTTGATGGGGATGGCCCTCTGGGTTCCAAGATCAAGGTAAAGAAATGTGGGTCAGTGAGTGGAGTGGAGTCCTGAGCCAGCTTGCTGTCCTGGGCAGGGAGTCAGATAATTCATGGAACCAATAAGCAATGCCAGGCAACCTCCTAGGGACACTGCAGAACCAGGGGTTTGAACTGAGTGATCCTCAGGATCCTTTCATTCTCATGTATATAAATGTTTTAGTTTTAGTAGATTCTTCTGTCTTTCTCACTAATTTCTATTGGAACATACTTAATAAAATTTATTGTATGTATAAAAAAATCAGCATATAACTTTAGAGTTTCTTCCTTTATTGTCCTCTTTGTTTAGTTTGAACCAACGAAAAGATATTTTATTAATAAGTTTTAATTCTCATGGAACATATATTATTTTGGGCATTTAAGCTTAAAGGAGAACAGCAGTTGAGTGTTAACAGATGTAGTGACAAAGGCCATGTGGCCTGTCCTTTACTCTCTTCTAAGGCTTTCATGGTCTTAGGAAGCTTCTTGAATTGATGTCTTGTTGTATGACTGTTCGTATAATCATGTCTGTACGTCAGTTTCTGTAATGAATGAATTTCTTGTGATGTCCTTCCTAAGTGGAGTCATCCTTTTTTCATCTGAAAAAACATCATTTTTCCATCTGAGTGATGGCTTTGTTTTATATATAAGTGGCAAGAAGTAGGGGGTTATTTTTTATTATAGGAGTTAGTATAGTGCTAGAGTTGAGAGGGTCCTCAGATGTCAACTAGTCTAGCCTTAAAATCAGTACAGAAGTGCCTTACACAGGGTGCTAGACAGATGGTTGCTCAGACTTTGCTGAAATACTCACAGTGATAGGAGACCTAATACCTTTCCCAGTGTTTTCGTGGTTTTATTAAGTAGCTTCTGCTGTTTTTTTAAGTCAAAGTGTGAGTCCTGGTTACCTACACCTTCAATCCTAGTTTTTCCCTCTGAAGTAATACTAGTCTTTTTCTTCATTGACAGACCAGCTCAGGAATATTTCTTTCCTCTCTGAGCTTTAGTTTTCTAACTATAATATGATGTGGTTATCAGACCATGACTGAGGTGAACAGCCTGGACAACTGTGACCTTAGGCAAAACCCTTTTCATATCTCACAGTATTAATATCTTTGTTTTATCTCTGGTGTATAATGTAATGGGGAAACGGCAGTGTGTGTCCATCAGTTTGGGTACCTTGATAGGTACTTACCAGTTGATGTTCTTGCCATTAACAAATGAATTAATTCATTTCTTCATTGAACATTTATTGGCCATTTGCTGTGTGCCTGTCACTTTCTTGGGCCTTAAGTGAATATAAAAACAGTGAACAAGACAGATACTTTCCCTGCCGTATTGGGCTCTAAGTTTTCGTCCCTAGATCTTTTTACTTTGAAGTATAAGTGTTTTTGATGGTTTAGAATAAAATAATCTTTGTTAGTCTACTTGTACTCCTCTTGGTGTTTTTGGTTTTCTAATTAGTCCAGTATTTAACAGTATATCTTTGATTTGTAGATATATGGAGTCTGGGAGTGATCCTTTTCATGTTGGTGTGTGGGCAGCCACCCTTTCAAGAGGCCAATGACAGTGAAACATTGACAATGATCATGGATTGCAAATACACAGTGCCATCCCATGTGTCTAAAGAGTGTAAAGAGTAAGTAAAAAATAAAACAAAACTATGTGGGTTTTTTTGTTCATTTTAATTTTTGATCTCAGTATTTCTGCTCTTGTTAAGTGTGTTTTGGGGAGTTAACCCTAGAATATTTGAAATTTAATACTGGAGTACAGAGTCTACTTTTCAAATATGCCAGTTTTCAAGAAACCCATTATATGGCTCTTCAGCCTCCAGGAGTGGTGGTTACTTCCACTTGCAATGAAGACATGACCATAAGAATTACTTTTCTCATTTTGTGTCACCAAAAAGCAGGACCACCTGGAATTATTTGAAGTTCCAGAGAAGAGTGAGGGGATTTTCTTTCCTGAAACAGACCATCAACAGGCCATTTTAGGATTGACATAGCGTGTCTTATAATTTTGTTCATGCACCCTCCCCCAGTGGACGGAAAAGCTCTGTGTTGGTTCACGTGACTGTGGGAAGAAGTAATGCAAGCTGGATTATTTGGAATTTTGAGTGCTGTATAGTACTGTGATGTGTGTAGAGAGAAATACATAATGAAATAAAAGAACTATTGGGAAGTTCAGTATTTCATTGATATTGTGGGTAATGTTTTAAAATAAGCTCAGCTGAGATTGTAGCTACCACTTAAAGGATTTTGCTGGAGTAACAGAGCTTTGAGTTCTCTCCTATCAGCTGGTAAGAAGGAAATCTGATAGCTTGAGTCTTTTCTCCAAGTAGATCCCATCTTAGGCCATGGTTAAGAATTTAGGTATTCAGACTATCTGGATTCAAATACTGGCTTCTCAGTTTACTAATGACGTGAAAATGGTAGAACCTACCTCATAGGGTTATTGTGAACATTAAATTAATTTATGTGTATGAAGTGTGTAGCTCAGCCTTTAGCACATAAATGGCACCCACAGTGAGTATTGGTGACGATTGTCATTGTCATCTTCCTTATCCCCTTAACTGCTGCTGCTCTCCAGCCCAGGAAGCAGCGCTGCTGTCCGTGGATGTACGCTGCATGTGTGTCAGATGTTTATAATTCAAGGAGCATCTCCATAGCACATTCTGAAACAACTAAAACAGCATAACTTATTTTTATGCTGGTGTATGTCATGCAAAGGAATGGATAAAACGTGTATGTAATAAAATGAACACCTATGTACTCATTATCAGCTTAAGAAAAAGAACAGTTCTGATATCTTAGAAGCTTCTTCTTAGTGGCTCACTCCTAGAGGGATTATCTTTCATAATCATAGGACCATTCAGTTTTCTGCTTTTTCCTGTATCAGTTTTGCTAAGTTTTGTTTTTTAAGGAGCTTGTCCATTTTATCTAAATTTTTGAATTTATTGGCCTCAAGTATTTATAGTATCTTCTAATTACATTTTTAAAGTCTATAATGTAGTTGTTGCCCTTTTTTCATTCCAATATTGATTTTTAAAAAATTTTTATTGAAGTACCATCAGTTACAGTGTGTCAATTTCTGATGTACAGCACAGTGTCCCAGTCATGCATACATATACATATATTTGTTTTCATTTTTTTATTAAAGGTTATTACAAGATATTGATCATAGTTCCCTATGCTATACAGCAAACATTTAAAAAAATCTATTTTTATATATGGTGGCTAACATTTGTAAATCACAAACTCCCAAATTTATCCCTTCCCACCCCCTTTCCCCGGAAACCGTGATTGTTTACTATGTCTACGAGTCTTTCAGTTTTGTAGATGAGTTCATAGTGTCCTTTTTTTTCTTTTTGATTCCACATATGAGTGACATCATATGGTATTTTTCTTTTTCTTTCTGGCTTACTTCACTTAGAATGATGATCTCTAGGTCCATCATGTTGCTGCAGATGACATTGTTTTACTCTTTTATGGCTGAGCAGTATTCCATTGTATAAATATACCACAACTTCTTTATCCTGTCATCTGTTGATGGACATTTAGGTTGCTTCCGTGTCTTGGCTATTGTTGTATAGTGCTGCTATGAACATTGGGGTGCATGTGTCTTTTCAAGTTAGAGTTCCCTCTGGATATTCAGTACTGAGTTTTTGCTTTCTCTTATTTTTTACCTTTTCTATTTTTGCCTAGCTCAATCTTGCCTGAAGTTTAATTATAATGTTTTTCAAAGAATTATCTTTTATCTTTATTAACTTACTGTTGTGTTTTTTGTTTTGTTATTGATAGTCTTTTATCTTATCTGTGTTGTTTCCTTCTATGTACTTAATGGGATAACTCTTTTGTTCTTTTTCTTTCTTACATTGGATGTTCAGATCATAAATTTTCCTTTTCCAGTGTACCACTTAAGGCTATAAATGGCCGTTTCAGCTGCATCCCACTAGTTTTGATTTATAATCCTTTTTTAAAATTATTATTTAGTCCTGATTATTTTCTAGGTTCCATGGGTTTATTTAACCCATTAGTTCTAGAAGGGTATTTTAAATTTCCAAAATACAGTTTTACTAATTAGCTTTTTTGTTGTTCATTTCTCACTTAATTGTTTTGTGATCCAAGAATACAATTTATATGGCACTAGTTTTTTTTTTTTTTCAAATTGATAAAACTTGCTTATGTCTTAGCATGGAGTCAATTTTCGTAAATAATCCTTTTGTTCTGGAAAAGAATGTATGTTTTCCAGTTGTTGGGGTCAGAATTCTGTATAAATCCTAAAGCTCAAGCTTGTTAATTATGCTGTTCAAAATTACTTCCATCCCTCCTGAGTTTGACTGCTTGATCTATCACTTACTGAGAGAGATTCTTCCACTGTGGTGGTAAATTTATTTTTTTATTTTTGAAAGTCCTAAGATTTTGCTTTGGGTATTTTGAGGGAGTGTTACGAGGTCCGAACAAGCTGAAAACTTGTAGCTTCCTGGTAAATTGAACTTTTGTATCACCGTTTATCTCTAATAATGCTATGTGCCTTAAAGTCAGTCTGTGTTACACAGTTTTAGGTAACCACACCGGTCTTCTTTTGGTTAGCATTCATGTGCTATGTATGTTTTCTATTCTTTTACTTTAAATCTTTTATTGTCTTATTTTTAGGTGCATCTTTTTTAACAACTGGAAGCTGGATTTTTGTTTGATTTCATCTGACCATCTGAGCATTTTTGTCTTTTTTTTTTTAATTGAAGTATAGTTAGTTTACAGTGTTGTGTTAATTTCTGGTGTACAGCATAGTGATTCAGTTTCTCATATATATATATATATATATATTGCTTTTCATACTGTTTTTCATTATAGGCTGTTACAAGGTATTGAATATAGTTCTCTGTGCTACACAGTAGGACCTTGTTGTTTATCTGTTTATATATAGTAGTGTGTATCTGCAAATCCTGACCTGAACTCCCAATTTATCCTTCCACTCCCCCTATTTTTGTCTTTTAATTGTAGCGTTTATTCCATTATATTTATTGTGTTCATGGATATCATGGATAGGTGTAGATGTATTCAAAGTCTTTACATTCTGATTTTGCCATTATGTCTTTTAGTTCTTGTAGTGGTACCTTATTTCCTTGGTATATTTTTTTGACTGTGAGGTCAGATTCCTTGCAATATTATGTGGGGGGTTCTTTTACGTTACATTCCTTCCAGAAAGAGTTTGCATTTTTCTACTAGTTGCCCAGAAGTACTTCAAGCCTGAAACCACTTAAAATTAACTTCTTCACCGTGTGTAGCACACAGATGATCATTAATTTGGACCACAAACTTGTGTGAGGACCAGCTTGTAATTCTTAGAAGAAATCCCCCAGCCCACCTTCACTGCCAGGGTTGGGGCAGGCAAGTTTTCTTCTTGACGTCTTAGCAGTAGATGTGTTTCTCATTTCTCATTCACCTCACGCTGAAGCTGGGGCCCAGTTCTTTGCAAGGGTCCTGGCTGTATTCCCCACCTACAGTAAGCCCTACACCTTATATTCTGTTTCACACACTCAGTATAGACACAGAAACAAGCAGAAGCAATTAGGCCAAAGGCCAGCTTTGTCATTTGCCTCCTGAGAGTCTTGCTTTTACTCTGTATTTTTATGTGCTGAGTGGTTAGTCCAGCCGTCCTTCCTGCCTTCCTTTCCTTACCTTCCTCTCCTTTCTTCCTTCCTTCCTGCCAACACGGTTCCTTTAAAAAAAAAAAAAAGTCTAAAAATGTATGCCATTTTGGTTGCTTTCATCAGGAGGGGCATTCGTTCTTCCAGAGGTTGGCTCATGCACCCTGTTCTGTGCGTCACTGCTGATGGTTCTGTCTGGCTCTGGTGCGCCACAGACAGTTCAGGGATGGATGGCAGTGCCCAGAGTTGACTGTAGATGACAGGAAACTGCGTTTGTGTCAGGCTTGTCGGTGTATCGGTGGTTGTGATTTTTTATTTTATGTATCTGATGGCACTAAATTTTCTTTATTCCCATCTGCACCCCCACCACTACCAGCGAACCTGAGGAAATGTGACGGTGTAAGTGTAGGAAGCAGTTTTGGTAACCCACCGTTACTAATCCCTGACAGCAGTTCCCTTTCACAGTGGGCTTGCCTTCCTTTCCAGCCTCATCACACGGATGCTACAGAGAGATCCCAAGAGAAGGGCCTCTTTAGAAGAGATTGAAAACCATCCTTGGCTTCAGGGAGTGGACCCTTCACCAGCCACGAAGTACAACATCCCCCTCGTGTCGTACAAGAACCTCTCGGAAGAGGAGCACAACAGCATCATTCAGCGCATGGTGCTTGGGGACATAGCGGATCGGGACGCCATCGTCGAGTATGTGAGCGCTCGTCAGTGGGCAGCCGTGGGCTCAGGGTGCTTGGAGTGGGCTCTCTTCTTAGTGTGGCAGGGCCTGTGGAGAGCGTGTAATGGGCAGAGTTCCCAGTTGTCACAGGTTATGTCGTTTATCTCTAGAGTTCCTGGCCCAGTGCCTGGCTCATAGGTTTTGTTGGTCTTTGTTTTTATTTCTTGCTGGTGAACAGGTACACCATTGCTGGTGGTGTCAGTCGTGTGGCCGTTCTCCCTTCTTCCAGAGGTGGACTGGACTGGGCTGTTCTGTATCCCAGCACATGACTTGTCCATTTCTGTGTCCTCTTCATTCCTGGGGCTCCCTCTGGTCCCCACAGGGAAGCAGGGACACTCAGTGGGACATCACAGGCCCTTGAGATCAGGGGTTGCCATATGGGTCAGTCACACGTTTTTGTAGGTACAGTTTTGGTGCCCACAGCAGTGCTGTTGGTTTACGTACTGTCCGTGGCAGCATTGTGCTGCAGTATCAGAGTCCCTGTGAGAGAGGCCACGTGACCTGTGAAACTCAAAATATATTTACTACGTGGCCCTTTAGAGCCCTTGCTGTGGCAGCCTGGAACCCATGAGGCGCATAAGTTGTTGGTTACGTCCTTTAAAACCAAAGCCAGTTTTTAATAACCTAAGAAGCTTGGAATCAAGGATAATATAAAGATGAAGTTGCTTTAACAATGATATAATTCACTTCTGTAAGAGGTCCTGTCTATAAAAGTATGAAGCATTTCCACAAATGAAATGTCTAAAGTTACTTAACCTGTTGAATGAAACAGTTGGGTGTGATGAAAAGATATATTCCAGGAGGGGGGCAAAAAAGGGGTTCCCCCCAGGAGGGCCACCGGCCTGGCTGAGCGATCTGACCCAGGTTCCTGACTTGGGGAGAGAGGAGGCTGCTGGCTGGACAGCTCTGTAGTATGTCAGAGTGTCCATGTGGCACCAGAGGGTCTGGTCCCTAAATGGGCGGTATCTGTGTGAAGGACATGTATCTTTGGAGTACACTGGGAAGGAGGATTTGCAAAAATAAACCCAGGTTCATAATTTCGGTTTAAATACACATTTCTACAGGTTTCTGAGTACATTATGAGTTTTTACAGGTTGACCCACAGCTGCTGAAATGACCTAAATGGACAGAAGAGAGCAGGACACTTGCTCTTTCTGTCAAGGAGACTTGCTTTTAGGGATGTGCAGAAAATGGTTTTTCATTTTTGAGTGGCTCAAAGGTTATTTGCATCCCTTGAATTGGCTTTATATTCTTAACTTAAATACATGCAGTGGTATCATATAGAACTATTTTGTTCCTGTAAATTCAATTATAAACCCAAAAGGAGGGGTAATTTCCATGGCTCAGATAATTCTCTGAGCCCGAGTCCTCCCAGCTGGTCTCGGCCGGTCTTGCCTGCTGCCCACATTATAAGCAGCAACTCGACCCACCGTGATTCCTTAGTTCAGAGACATACTTGTTGGTCCCCTTAACTCAAGCCCACAGCTTCATCCAGTGCTGAGCTGAGGAAACCACTCTGACAAGTCATTCTGGACCTGAATTTCACCTTGGGCTCTTACTCTAGAATCTCTCATCTCAGCCTATTAGATGTGGCCCCACTGTTCATTTTGTGAGACGTGACCCCTGTATCGTTTCCTTCCAAAGTGTTCATTGTGTATGTTTGCTAACTACAGAAAGTTCCTGAAAAGTATAAGTCGTATTTCTGGGTCTTGTAGATCTTCTGTAACACTACCCCCCATCCCACAACAGGCCAGCTGTTGGAGAGCGGGCAGGCCGTGTGCCCCAGCACCTGCCAGCACAGCGCTGGCCAGACGGAGTCCTCAGAAAGCATCACTTCTGAATGAATGCGTAGACTTTATTCAGAGAAGAGGGTGATGGCATGCTCTCAGTACACTAATAATTCACTAATGTGGGTTCAGTCTCCAGTACCTGCATTTTAAATAAATAGATACATAAATAAATAGAATCCCCTTCCCCAATGCCAATAAATTAGAGTGGAAAAAAAAAACTTTCTAGTTTTTCTGATGTTAGTGTTTCAGTGCATGTTCATACAACTCATTTCATGGTTCTCTTGGAAGCAGGGGAGCCAGTTTAATGAAAATAAACACTTGACACATTAAAATTTTGAATAACGTGTACATTCTTGGCATCTTCGTTATCTTTTCTTATGTAGCTAAAACTAACATCCAGCTTAAGCTGCCATCAGCATTTTGGGTTTTTCTTACTAATTGAACATTTTTATGCAGATGTTTCTTAGAATTTTAAGAATGATCTAAATAATTACTACTAGGGTTTTTTCCCCCATTATGTTAAAAGATTCAAGGTCATTGGATTTCATTTGTTCTTAAAAAAAAAAATTAGTTCTGCTTGTGAGAAAACAAAACTGCTCATGTGGGTTACATTCTCTCTCCCTTGTTTCCTCAGAGCCCTGGAAACCAACAGGTATAACCACATCACAGCCACCTACTTCCTGCTTGCTGAAAGGATCCTGAGGGAAAAGCAAGAGAAAGAAATACAAACCAGGTCTGCAAGCCCTAGCAATATCAAGGCCCAGTTTAGGTGAGAAAAAAATCTTCACTGATTTTAGTAAGTTAACATTTTGAAATAGTGAATTTATTTTTAAATGTTTCTTAACTCTGGGGGTGATGAGAGTATGCACGGTGGTGACAGCCTCAGTGGGGAGGCCACGTGTGGGCCCTCCATGTGTGTGGGGGTCTTGGTTCCTTGTCACCAGGGATGCCTTCCTCTCCTGGGCTTGGGGGTGGGTTGGGGGAGAGGGGCTGTGGCTACTGGCCTGGCTGGGAAGATACATTTTGGAGAAGGAGCCTCAAGCTAGAGTGTCTGTCAGCTATTTCAATAAACTCATCCAGAACTGACATGTATAAATGTGTTAATTTCCATTTTTCATTCCAGGAACAAGGCTGAGTTTTCCCTCAGTTATTTGAAGCAATTAAAAAAAAACATATGGGGCATTTCTGTGGCATGATGTTACCTCAGGATTTCAGGAATTTGACAGTCAGATCAGCTAGTTGATTTATTAGCTGCTTGAGCTTGGGAGGTCACTTAACCTCTCTGACTCAGCTTCCTGATCTGTGAAATGGGTGTTATAATACTGTTTACCTCTTGGGGTTGTGGTGAGGGATAAACAAATTAATGTATGTGAGGTACTTTGAACTGGGCTCCATGTGTCTGCTGTCATTGCTGTGAACGTTTCCCACCATTTTGTCATTGGTAAAGCAGTGAATGTGCCCTCTGTTTTCCTTTGCTTCCCTTCCTTTCCCGACTCTCCTCCTTCCTCCCCCTTCCTTGATCTCTTCTCTTCCTCTCCCCCCACCCTCCTACTCTTCTTTTTCTTCTGCCATATTAGCGTTCCATTTAAAATCAAAGCTTGGGAAGGGTTACTGTTTTTCAGTCAACACTATGAAATTTATATAGAATTTTTCTTTATTCAGGTAAAGTAATCCATAGAACTGTAGTGATTCAAAAACAGAAGGATGCTCCTGATTCTGAATAATCCTTTACTTGTACATCTGACTGTATGTGAACATATGTGTGTGAATATGTAGTAATAATTTCTATTTAAAAGAGGAAGAATACCATTGGATTTTAAATTACTTGTAGTCAGCTTGCCATGCGTAGGTTGCTTGGGTTGGAGCAACAAAGAAGAGACAAGGAAACATTCCTGGGTGACCAAAGACTAAATATTTAGAAGTCTAGTTTAACTGGAAAATGAATTTATTTAGTAACTTCATCTATATCCTGGATGCATTCTTGCATAACGAAAACTAGGCACTCTGTCTGGCGTCAGCTTGGAAGAGGACTGGGCCCCAGAGAGCGAGGGGACTCTTGCGCACGGGCCAGACCGGGAGAGTGACAGTGAGCGGTTGGGGTCCACCTAGTCCTGCCCCAAGCCCTCTAGCGCAGAAGAGCAGCCCCAGAGCAGAGTCACTGCGTGCTGGGCCACCGCACCTGGAGCCGCCCCAGTCTTTTGGAGAAGGGAATATTTGGAATTGAACTGTTGATTGTTCAGTGAGACAAATGAGAACTCAGTCTAAAGTTGATCAAATACTTAACTGAGTTAAATTGGTTATCCTTTATTGTAGAAATTACAAAGCCAACAGTAGCTATAAAAAAATATCAGAGCCTCCATGCAGGTTCCTTGTACCCACCTGGTGATTATGGAGTGGAGATGCTGTTGGGGCCTGTCCTCCTGCTGGGGCCAGGGCCCCCTGGCAGGTGGTGGAGGTCTGCTTACTTGTCTTCTCTTTACTGTCCAAAGCCTGGACCTGACTTCGATACATTGCTGGGTATACCTTGGGGTCATTGTGACCTGGGATATAGAAACCTGGGCTGAGTCAGGAGACTAGTGTTTAGCCAGCATGGTTAGTTGTTTGGGGGAAGGGGTGGGCAGGCCAAGAGAACAGATACTTTCTTTGCATCCTGCCTGTGTGGGATGGAAATGTGTGTGCTGTGTCCTTTAGAAAAGCCTTATGAAGTCCTCCAGGAGCTGACCTCTACACAGGAGCGGCTGGTGCCCGCTTCCTTCCAGAGAGAAACGAGGAAGCAAGGAAAACCACTGAGGCCTGAACGCAGAGGCTCCATCCATCCGACAGGCAGTCATTCAGGGGCTTCAGGACTGCAGCATGAAGCCACTGCCCTGGAGTTCAGTAACCACAGAACCTTGCCTAGGTGTCACTGTCATCAAGCCTGGGTGGCCTTGGGCAGGTTGCTTCCTCTCTCTCTGTTCCGATTTCTTCACCTGTCAAGGGAGGATGGAGTTGTGGTGAGATAAAATGAATTAATCCCTGTCAGGCTCTCACCACAGCTCTGGTTCTAGTAAACTCTCAGTCAGGGTGAACTGTGCTCTCTTGTCAGCAGCCTTTGTTCTCTTCCGTTAACATAAGCCGTCATTTTCTCACAGTTTTGTGGCTGTAAAGATTGCTTATTTAGTTTAGCACAGTGTTGGGCTCAGATATGTTCTCAATAAATGTGAACTATTTAACAGTTTGATTTACCCGTGTAAGTAAGAGTCATTGGTTCAGAAGTGGTGATGGAGTGACTGGTCTGGCTGCAGTGCTTGCCCATCTTGTCTCTGGGGGTGGTTTTGGTTGTCTGTGTAGTTGGGGGTCGGGGGAGAGAAGCTCCTCCAGCATGTCTGTGCCCTCGTCCACAGTGGACTGGCTGCCACTCTGGTAGGTCAGACACACTGTCCACACTTGCCTCCCACCTTAGGGACCCCCAGCGTTGGTCAGGGTGAGGTTCTTTGAGGAACAGCATGAAAGAACGTTGTGTGCCATTTTCCAGGGCCCCGAGACTCACCCGAAGCTGGCACAGTTGTGTTGTGAGGAAAGAGGACTTGCCCAGAGATGCTGCTTGATCTCAAAAACACTGAACCCTCAGCATCTATAAACTACCAAGCAGTGACCAGCAGACAGACCCCTCCATCCTTGAGAGAGAGGAGGAGGCTCCAAGTAGGGAGAAAAATGTCTGTTGAAAATTCCTGTGGGTTTTTTCAAGTTATAGATTAATTGGGTTTTATTTCTAGGATAACACAGTTGGTGTGAAGAGGATGTGTCAGTGTAGCAGTGGCTGTTTTAAACGTCTCTGGTGTCTGCTGCTCCCCTGGGCAGAGAGTGTAGTTGAGAATTCAAGATGTTTATTAAAAACAGGCCTGAGACCTCAGTTTCAAGGCTTTTCCTTCGGCTACCAAGCAGCATTCTTGTTACTTGGGTGACTCTGGATTGGGGGATAAAGTCAAAGTTTAAATAATCATGGATTTTGCTATCTGGTACTCCTATATGAATATATAAAAATATACGTATTTTTATTTAGCTTAAAGGGTGCATCTTTTTAATTGAAGAAGAGATTTATGTATGTCACTATTCACTGGCTTTTCTCTCCAGTATTCTCACATTTAAATCCATTAAACTATTTCCACTTATTTTTGTGAACACCAACTTTAACACCATCCTGTAAAATCTGGAGGACTGGAAATTTCAGGTGAATTTATTAGCCATGTATACCTTCAAAGGTTGTGATCTAAGACCCAAAGGAGCAGAATGTGTGGTGGTCAGGTTTTGCTTTGGTAATAACTCTCTTGTACTTTTTAGAAAGATTTTTCTTGTGGTATAAAACGTTTACATAGAAAAAATGGAGTAAGTGTTTGCCCCCTTTTCTGACAGCTGTGATGTTTTCATTTGGTAAGTCAGACTGAACCACATTTCAAAACCACATTTGCCCTTCTGGTGTCCTTGTGATGTTTACAGGATGTTGAATAGGTTTGTGAAGCTGCTGTTTCTTTTTGTCTCTCTCTTTTTCTTTGTTTTTTTTTTTAACTGTGGATTTTGTCCCTGTAAGTTTTATGTAATGTACTTTAGTAAAGTCTGCATATTCTTACATTGCTTTTCTTTTTCCAATCTGTTACGTAGGCAGTCATGGCCAACCAAAATTGATGTGCCCCAGGACCTTGAGGATGACCTCACGGCCACTCCTTTGTCCCACGCGACTGTCCCTCAGTCTCCTGCTCGGGCCGCCGACAGCGTCCTCAATGGCCACAGGAGCAAAGGCCTGTGTGACTCGGCCAAGAAAGACGACCTTCCTGAGCTAGCGGGCCCGGCGCTCCCCTCCGTGCCGCCCACGAGCCTGAAAGCCCCTGCCAGTGGGCGCAAGTGCCTGTTCCGGGTGGAAGAAGACGAAGAGGAAGACGAGGAGGACAAGAAGCCCATGTCCCTCTCAACACAAGTGGTTTTGCGCAGGAAGCCATCGGTGACCAACCGGCTGACGTCGAGGAAGAGCGCCCCGGTCCTGAACCAGATCTTTGAGGAGGGGGAGTCTGACGACGAGTTCGACATGGATGAGAATCTGCCTCCCAAGCTGAGCCGCTTGAAGATGAACATCGCTTCCCCGGGGACGGTGCACAAGCGCTACCACCGGCGGAAAAGTCAGGGCCGGGGCTCCAGCTGCAGCAGCTCGGAGACCAGCGAC